AATCTGATGAAACACACGCTTACCACTTACACACATCCCCAGAAGGTCCAGATGGGTACTTTACAGTAAAAATCTCTCACAAGCACAGAGAAGACCTCCCAGGACACACCCCACGTCAGCCAACAGGTACACTGCTCACCTCTAAGTACTGGCCAACGCAGAACGCGTGCATGGACTCCCGAGTGTCTTCAAACTGCAAAGCTGCTTCCAAAGCAACCACTGGGTCTTCCCCTGCAAATTGAGCTAAAATAAAAAGTAAAAACACAGCATGACTTCACTCCATGTGCCATACAGTTTTAGCTGCAATGACACATAAAAAATAAGTCAGGCAGCCAAACTCAAAGTGAGGGTTATCAGAGCATAAGGATTCCTCACCCTCTCTCAAGCTTTTCTGAACCAACTCAGAACAAGTTTCAACAAGATTTTATTGGGAAAAAAAAATGTATGGTGATGCATAATTCTTTAATCTGTGCCTGAATTGACTGATAAGACAGAAACCAAAATCAGAGATACATGAAAATCCACAGGGGCTAGAGCGGAACTAAAGAGATCACTTACAATCTTAGCTTTATGTGCTTAAAAATAACCTATGAGGCTGGGCATCGTGACGCACACCTGTAATTCCAGCACTGCAGAGGCTAAAGCAGGAGAATCACCAAGAGTTTGAGCCAAGCCTAGTCAATACTGTGAGTTCAAAGCCAGTCTGAACTACAAGCAAGCCTTGTCTCAAAAAATACATAAATAGCCCTGTCTGAAAACAAACAAAAATTAATACACATCTGAACTTTTAACCATAAACTAAAAAGTACGGCCTACCTAGAATGCTATTTCCTGTTAAGGACTGTGCCTGGAAATCCTTTATGTCGTACACTTTCCCGTCAATCACAGTCCAGAAGCCTCCATCCTTATTGTGGTTCTCCAAATCAGCTTTCCGTATAAGGGTCACTTCCTCATTATTTCTACAACTCTGACCCGTAAAAAATGACTCTGTATATGGAGAAATCAAAAATCAATCAATTGAAAAATTAAAAGAACAAATAGTATGAAACAGCTAAGTCACAATCACAATGGAAAAATAACATCTATCTCTCTAACAGTTACAACCTAAGATTCGATTACACACATAATAGTGTGGTAATGGCACAGAGACAGACATATTGAACAATGGAACTAAATAAAAAACACAACAATAAGTACGTGTTTTGTGAAATAACCTCTGACAAAGAAGTCAAGACAATGCAATGGAAGAAGGATAATATTTTTACAATGATGCTGGGAAAATTAGCCACATGTAAAATAAAAGAATCAAGTTGGACCCTTATGTTAGACTACATACAAAAATGATCAGATGAGAACCTAAGAACTGAAACTACAAAACTTTTAGGAGAAAACAGGAAAATGCACAATACTAATTTTGGAAATGGTATCTTGGATATGATATCAATACCAAGGGCAGGGTCCAGGGAGAGAGTGTAGCGGAATAAGCACTTGCCCAGCAAGTGCAGGGTCCTGAGTTCAAAACCCAGTACCACAAAAAACAAAACAAGGCCAATAGGGCCAGAGAAACAGCTCAGCGGATTAAAGAGCCTGCTCAGGCAGACACAAGGGCTGGGGGTTCTAGCCCTAGGCCTGCCATACCAGCCCAGCCCCCTAGGTGGCTGAGACAGTGACAGACAGAGACTGGGTGTGGTGGTGCACACCTACAATCCCAGCACTTGGGAGGCTGTAAACAGGAGGATCACTATGAGTCCAATGTACGTAGTGAGACACTGTAGACCCTGTACTACATATATACAAAAAAACAAAACAAAACCAAGGGCAGTAATAGAAAAAAATTAAGCAAGCTGGATTTTATCAAAATCAAATACCTTTGTACAATGAAGGACATTATCAAGAGTAATAAAATATTGCCAATTATGTAATATATATACATATATATATGTATGTATATATATTACATAATTCCAATACAGCTCAGAAACAATCCATTTCAAAATCAGGCAAAAGACCTAAACAGGCATTCTCCAAAGAAGATACATCAAGAATAATAAGCATATGAAAACACACTCAACATCAGTAATCACTAGGAAAATACAAATCAAAAACCATAATGATATACCTTCACACCCATGAGGATGGCTACCAGTAAAAAAAAAACCTAGCATTGGTGAGAAAGTGCAGAAACTGAAACTTGAGTGCACTAGTGGTGGGACTGACACAATCAGAGGC